GCGGGGTGTCTCCAGGGACAATCAGTTCAACGCTTATTCGCAGCTTGGAAATAAAACAGCTCGTGGCATTTAAATAATTAGAGCTAAAACTTATGTGTTTGGAAATATTCATTTAATATGTGAATCATATTTAAGTAAAACAGGAGCTAAGATCTCTTTTCACTAGGGTCAAAATTTAATCCCACCGGTGGAGATACGGCAGCATGACGTATTAACTGATAGAATTGTCGTCATCTGTAAAATGTGCAGACATTTCAGCAGCTGATGGCAAGGTATATTCAGTACGATAATGCAAGATAATGTGTACCCATCTGTGTCATAAATTTTAAAATAATATAAAAACCAAATATTTCTTGGACTGTACATGATACTGCTTCGGTCAATCAGTCGCTCATTAATTCGATTTATTTCTGTACCGGTTGATGACGGGGCATTTCCTCAGCTATCAAGAAACATCACTGCCTAATGGGTGGAGACACAACTGGCTCAATGCTTCTCGATTATCATGAGTTTAAGTTTACATCCCTTGGTACAATGCTTAAGTGAAAAATGCACACCGGTTTCACTTTTCGCTCAGCAGAAAGAAGTCTTCGAAAACCACAATGGTCCAAATGATGGAGAGCACTAGGAATAGTGCCAACGAATTCATTTCATCAATTTTGGAAGACCAATTATTTTCAGGTATCTATCTATCCTAAAGATTCACCAGGAGGGTGCAAATGAGGAGTGAATGAGGTCTGTGAACTAAAAATGATAAAACTGATTTACTATTCATAAAGGTTAGAGATTGTAAAAACTCAGATTAACCAGATGGTCAGAAAATGCGCTTAGTAGCTCACGTCTATTCAGGACCCATGAATGATGAGAATCTTGGTATTTAACGGTTGCAGGCATGAAGAAGACTGAAATTCTAAAGGCATGTTTGAACCAAATATTAGCGACAATATCTTGGTCATCCGAAAAGCCCAGCAGTTTCTTACTTTTCCATCTTGCATAACAAATTATGAATCAAAATTGGCGGACATTTCACGAAGAATAAAAGTTCTTATTTTTACCTTTCCAGCATACAGACAGACCCCAAGTTGCCATCATTTGACTTAGGATTTTTCGATCTCACCATATCGATTACGATAGAACAAAATTCGAAAAAATATTACCGATTTCACAAGAAGATGAACAGCTGAGCATAGACGTGAGCCACACGAGAGTTGGGGTACGATTGGGAAGCTGCTGCCGCAGCATCGCATCACTTAACGCGTGGTCTGCCTCATTCTCCAGCGATCTAACCCTTAGTGAAATAGCGATTCAAGAAATATTTACCCTTTGTGTTACTTTGTGCTAAAAAATTGTGCTTTTTTCTATAAAAATGGCCCCCAGACGTGATAATGCGTTGGTAGTGAGAAGATGAAGAGGAAAGCTATTGCCTTCCTGAATAATTAAGATAAAATGAAAATCATAAACCCCGGGACGAAGGGAAACCAGTCATGGCCATAGCACGTGATTTTCAGTTATCCCAGTAGACGATGTCAAGGATTCTCAAAGACAAAAAACGGATCATTGAAGCTATCAAAGATGTTGCATTTATGCATTCCACCGTAATATCGAAAAAGAGATCTGCCATGTACGATACTATTGATTTACAGTGTATTAAATTGTACTAAAATTTATTGCTGCAAAACACATAGCAAATGTATGTACTGCACTGTAATACAATTTCAAAGGTTTATTAATTACCTCTACAGTGCACTATAGTACAAGTACTTTACAATATTTACTGTATTACAAATTACAGGGTATGGTATGTGTTAAATTTAACACAAAACTATACAATACTATATGCTATAGCACTATATATTACAGCATAACTCTGTCATACATTACGTTGTCTTCTTCTATACTCCATACAAGCGTCGTCGCCTGCTTACGATATTTTCGTCTTACGATGTAATTATCGGAACGCAACCCCATCGTCAGTCAGCGAACTACTTGTATAAAAAGTATGCAGTAAATCTTTTCAACTGAAGAGATCTTGCGAATGTTACCATCAGGGAAGGCAGAGTAGCTGCTAGTTGCTCAACTGACCGCTAAACACCATGGGGAATGCCAAGTTGCTCCATGTTGGGGTTCTCTCTTGGGTGTAGGACTGGGAAGGTAGGCGATAGCGACACTGCCAGGAACATCTGTCTCCATGACCCTAACGGCTAAGTAGCCATTCACACCAACTGACTGACTGCCTTACTACTGATTGATTGACTGACTCATTGACTAACTCTGACGTATTGAATGCCGCTAACTGGCTGTATATAAATTAACGACATAACTTGCAACCAATTATGCGATCTCCGGGTCAGATTTCTGCGTGACGCTGCTGTGGGCTATTTCTCGAAAGAAAAAAAATTTCTCTACTTAAATTCTATTTCAGTAGACCATGCAGTAGACAAAAAATATCGGCGGCATCAAACGTATTAAAATTTATTCGATAATTAATTATTAAAGTTTATATATTCAGTCGAAAGAAAAATAGACATCCACTGCGTAAAAGTTTGTAAGACAGCTGCGAATGGAAAAATTGTAGAAAGCAGAAGGAAAATTGTGCATGTCAGCACAAGAACTTGGGCAACTTGGTAATACTATTATAAATTTTTATCAGCTACAAGAACTTTCAAATGGCCTAACATTATGTCTCTAGTGTATGCGCATAATACATGAACTTTTTAGGGTCCTGCATGGCGGGGTTCGGTTCATAGGCAATCGACACTGGATCTTCGATGGTCAGACAAAATATGCTGCGCATTTGCCTTTGGCGATAAACGCTAATTTGTGATTGGAATCAAGTCGCATCCAAGGCATTTAGCAGGGAAATATAAACCAAAGCCAAAGCGCCATCCTCATATATGAAGCGGAACATCAGAAAGCGAGCCAAGGTAGGGGAATTTACACAAAGCCCTGCAGAGAACTGATTAAAAAATATTGTCCGTTGCCCCGAGAGAAACAGGATAATTTCATGCCGTGTATCAAAGGCAAATCTACTCTCTTATGATCAAGCAGGTGTTAAACCTGTCTGAAGTTTGCTGCCTAAGCAAGATCGCAAAGAAGTCCTAGTTATCCACCCACATAAAATCGAAAGTAGAAACGAGACAATAGAAATAAAACGTCCACAACCAACCTATTAAATAAAGGAGGTTATATAATGCACCCTTCTAAAGACGAGGCACCACCCCGTGCAAGAGCAGAAAAACCGCCGAAGAAAAGCTGATTGTATCCGAGCTCACCAAGGGAAGCTCTCAGCTCGTTAAGCCTCACAGAACCATCAACTTGGACGACCTCATTAGGAAAGGGTAGAGGGCAAGCGGATATTCTGTTCTAGGC